AGGAAGTAAAAGAAAAGGTTGTTTCCTGTTTTCCAACAAAGAAATCATCAGGAAATTGCACAGAGGAAAACTTGAAGCCAAAAGAAAGGTGAAAGGGAGAGAAAAAAAAGAGGAAAAGAAGAAGAAAAATCGTGTGGCAGAAGATTGAAAAGAGAGGGTAAGAAATTGACAATGAGATAAAAAAAAATAAGAGAAAATAAAGAGAGAATGGAGACGGAGTTTATAAGAGTTTGAGAGAGTGAAATGGAAACACGAGGATGTTGGATAGATTTTCAACAGTCCCGTTTTTAGTATGACGTAAAAGCCACTAAGGAAGGAGACAATTTAAGGCAAAATAATTTGCCAGCTCAGAATTGTGTTGGTTAAAAAAAAAAATCAAAAGAAACATTGTGATTACTAATCTTATCATTTGATGTGAAACAAATCCCTTGATGAAAATTGAGAACATCGTGGTGAGTGAGAAAATTAATCTAGAGACGGTCAGAGGAACTTGGATTCTTGTAGCCTGTTTCCAAAAAAGGCAATAGATTGGATAGAATTATCACAAGTCACGCGACAATACTGTGATTCTTTTTTCTTTTATGTGCCATGTCCGTTCAGGATGGAAGCGATCATGGCCCTCCACATCTTCTTGTCCCTTGTAACCCTTAATAATAAGTTTTGCCTTTTTGTTATTTCTCCCAAACACTATTCTGCCATTCATTTGCTCAAGTCCATCAAGTATATTACGTGCTGCTTTCCTCTGTCCCTCTTTCCCTCAGTCTGTCCTGTGAGTATCAGATTTTCCAAGCCTTCCTTCCTCATTACATGCCCCAGAAATTTCAACTGCCTTTTCCAGATGTTAAGTATAAGCTTCCTTTTTGTTTCCTTTTTCTCTCTAAAACTTCATCCTTGCTCACATGTTTGTTCCATGGTATCCTCAACATCTTTCTGTAGAACCACATTTCTGTTGCCTCAATCCCTTCTTCATCTTTGAGGAAATTGTCCATCATTCACTGTTATACAGGAGAATATATATCACGTAACAGTTCAGTACTCTTTTCTTTGTTTCTAATGAAGTTTTTCTGTCTCTTAATACTCTGCTTAGCTTTTGGAAGGCTTCTTTAGCCATTCCAATGTTTTTGGAACTCAGTATCGCACTTCCCAGATATTTAGATTTCTGTACCTGCTTGATTTTAATATTCCCGACCTGAAATTTGCATTTTGGGCTCATCTTTTTGCTGATGAACCTGCATTCTGTCTTCTTGTAGCTTATGCTTAGTCCTTCGCTAGAAGGAAAGCGAGAAGAATGTTTCTTAATCGATAATAAAAATCCGATAAGTTTCACACAGCCCACAACAAAACTACAGAAGTTCAAGCCCAAACATTAATTTTTAAAAAGTTCAATTTCTAATCACATCATAAAGTTTCTATTTTTACCTGGCGATTTTTTTTCAAACTCACGGATATAACCTAGTGGTCAAGCAGAAAAGTGAATGTCACAAGATCTAAAGTTTCATTCTTAGCACTAAAAGGAAAAATCGACTTTTATCAAGCTATAAAAAATATAACAACTCTTTATAGTCAGTTTTGTACTTGCAAAATATACGTAAATAAGTTGTGTTGGATTTTGTTCTGTTCTAACTGATATTATTGTGTGTAAAAATTCCCAGCGCTCAATTTTGAAAACCCAGTTGAAAGTTGGTTTTTCGCACGAATTCTTTTCAGACATCTAATACATAATGCACCTAATACTCCTCTTAGATATGGGTTAAATAAATAGGCAGACTGAGCTTTCTAGTCTAAGGTGATATCAAGTCTAAGAAAAGGATTGCCTTGAATTCAAAACCATTAACCATTAAAAGGCAACCATTAACTATTCCTTTCTTTTTCAAGAAGTCATAGAAATTCCTCGAAAGTAAAGAAATAGAATCTGTGCAGAGGTATGATCATCTATGCCATGAAGAGACATGGCATTAAATGCTTACATGTGATGCCATTGTTAGGAAAACGTTATATTTTTCAGTCTTGGTTTGTTCTTAGTTCCATCTTAAATACTTGTAACATCAAAAGGACTTACGACTCGAAGAATATTTGTAGAGGAAACGAGGTCACGTGTTCTGGCCAGAGCTTGATATTGGATCGCAGATTTTATTTTGAAAATCTTTACCTGCGTCAATTGCACATTTACGGCTTTGGAAAGAACAATTTTTAACAAGCCAGAGAATGCGAACAATTTGCATTGTTTGGGAATTGTGTCATATGCGATTATAGAAAAAGGTTATGATTTCAATCTCTTAATTATTTACAATGAAAAAAGAAGAGAAAGGAGAAATAAGGAGAAGAGATGGAAACTGAGTGAGAGAGAGAGAGAGGGAGAGAGAGAGAGGGGGGGACGGCATTGAAAGATAGAGAGATAAAAATTACATGGAAAAGAGAAAAAGAGATGGTAGGAAAGAAAGAGTCTAACAAGGAGGTAGATACTGGGGTGCCATTGAAAAATTCTAAATTCGACCTTCTCATGTTGGGTCATCGGGTTAGACTTTGGGAAGTCGATCAGGAAGTGAAAATTTTAGGTGTATCAAGAAAGAAAAGAATGAGGAAAAATGAAGATAATGAGAGAGAGAGAGAGAGAGAGAGAGAGAGGAGAAATGATGAAAGAGAAACAGGGAAAATCATTGATATTGTCATATCCATTTATTAGGTAAGACCAAAACTGAGAAGCACACAGCGAGTATCAAACTCACTACGGTAGTAATGATCTGTGAGATTAGCTCATTAACCATCGCTCTACGACGAGTCAACATGGTACGTCTCGAAATATACTGGCAAAACAACTGTGAGAGTGAGAAGAAAAGGCGAGGTAAAAGCAGAGAGCAAGAAGGAGAGAGAGAGAGAGAGAGAGAGAGAGATGGGAGAAAGACAGAGTAAAGAGGAAATAGAAAAGCGGCGAGGAAAGAAGACTGAAGAGAGAGGGTAAGAAACTGACAATGAGATAAAAAGAACAAGAGAAAATAAAGAGAGAATGGAGACGGGGTTTATAAGAGCTGGAGAGAGTGAAATGGAAATACGAGGATGTTAGACAGATTTTCAACAGTCCCGTTTTTGGTATAACCTTAAGGCCAGGAGAGAAGGCGGCAAGTTAAGGCAAAATAATTTATCAGCCCAGAATTGTGTTGGTTTCAAAAAAATCAAAAGAAATATATCTTATCATTTGATGCGAGACAAATGCCTCGATGAAAGTTGAGAATATCGTGGTGAGTGAGAAAATTAATCTAGAGACGGCCAGAGGAACTTTGATGCCACCAGGTGTTCTGATAATATTGGTAAGAAAATTTTCAAATTTTGAAGGGGAAGTTACATATTGGAAAATCAAACGAAGTTTTTGAAAAATTATTATTATCATTATTATTTGTTTCAGACCATTTTAAAAATTGCTCGTCTAATTAAAACATCTTAGCCAAGCTGATGCTATAGTATAACGTTTCTACTACTTATTTTTCAGCTATTATCAGACGTTTTTCTTTAGAATAATAAATACTTTCTTCTCATGAAATATATATATATATATATGAAGAAATCATCAGGTAAAACGTATTAAAAAATAAAGTCTACAAAAGAAACGGTTCATTTAAGAATTTTAATGGCATTTATTTATCGTTCGTATCTTCACAATCTTCACTTCGTACAAACTCTTTCATCTTACACATTATTCATCATTACAATTTTAGACGTAATCATCTACTCTAAGCAGCTTCCGTAATTTTTTATTTGATAAATTCTAGTACATTCACAAAACATTTAACGACCGGGTTCCGTTTTCACTATCTAGTCGCTAAGCGAGAATTGGTCCCTGAACACACTTTCGGGCATTAGTGTACTGAACAATAAACGCAATAAACAAATTCGAAAATCCGCTCTATATTCGAAAATCCGCTCTATATTCGAAAGTCCGCTCTATATTCGAAAGTCCGCTCTGTATTCGAAAGTCCGCTCTGTATTCGAAAATCCGCTCTGTATTCGAAAATCCGCTCTATATTCTACGCATTACTTCGGTTTGATGACTGTAAATACAGTAGAAAAGTAGATTTTCATTTATTTTATATTTGGATTCATTTTGAAGAAAGGATAAACAATCATAATCAAATTCTCGTACAATACTGACTGGTTGGACATAAAAAAATCTTTTTATTTTATGAGATGTATAGCCGGTCGTAATTCCAGAGTCGTTAAGTCAGGAGTGGTTGTAAAAAAGTACTTTTCAAAGTTATAGACAAGACAGGGCACACAGTAAAAAAAAAAAAAAAAAAAAAAAAAAAAAAAAACAGTAAATTTAGAAAGATGTAAGACAGCCGTTGAAAATTGGTGATGACTGATGTGTGCGAAAAATTCATGAAGAATTTCTGCACATTCGTCAATCTCCATGTCGAATGTTCTTTGAAAAGTACGATAACTTGACGCTTAAAATCAGTGATACGAGAAGGGCAGAACGAAAGACGAAAATTGTCTTTAAATATCCTTGAAATGACGAGTCACAAGATCGAACAGCAATTAATCAATCATAAAAGAACCAGAGTTAAGTAATTACGTAAGAGTCGAAAGATTATTCAAGGTCATGAAGAAATTTATTCAAAGATATCCAAGGTCAATTATTCCCGAAAGATAAAAAACATTATAATAAATTTGCCGCTTTTTTTACTGGGCATCTTGTAGTTCCCATCTTTGGTTTCATTTAGTTGTGTTCTCCATAACAGATTAGTTTGTAAGTATCGCATATACTCATATATAAGTCGAGTTTTTATTGCCATATTATAATAATCTTGCTGGGTTGTAACCTGTACGCGATGAAAAGAGACAAAAGCAACTCACAATATAAGGTACAAAACCTATTCATCAACTATAAGGATTAAACATCGGAAAGCCTTTCGCTATTTCCATGGCAAATGTTCTTAAGAATGTCTTAAATGCCGTTAATTCCGATTCAGACCTTCACAGCTAGGACCCGTCCTGGCACCTACATTGGAACGGATTAAAAGTAAATATTGATTCGGGCAGCTTCTTTCCGCTACTTTGTGGAACGAACTCCCGAGAGGATACTTTCCTGATCACTACAATCTTAACATTCAAGTCTGTAATTAATCTTTATCCATCCTATATAACCTCATATACTACACTTCTTACCGCCTCCTCTTACGCCCATGTAACAGCCTCATTCAGTAAGCTCTACCTCTGTGTGGCTCTTGGGTATTGTGTTAGGTGAAAAAACTTAACTCCTATATTGCAATAATATATCGTGTATAATTACTTGAATAATAAAAAAAAAACAACAACAGATATTTCATAACGCATACATTGACATTATATATAGGAATATATTAAAACAAAGCTAGTGTAGAAAGGCAAGGATGAGAAGAATATATCCAGCCTAAGGGAGTAAATCTCCCCCCAATTATAAACAATCTAACCGGTTATCCCTCTTTAGAGCTCAATCGAGGACAAAACATGTAAATAAATATGGGGACAGTAACTAAAATTATGGTGGAGTAGAAGGAAGAAAAAATAGTATATTTTGTCCTCGGTTGAGCTCTGAAGAGCGAGGAGCGATAACCGGTTAGATTATTTTCTTGTTGCTGTTCCTTTTTTGTTCACCACTTCACGGTGATTAATAGATTTTTATTATCCTTTGCACTCCTTCCTCCTTTTTAAAAATATTTTTGTATATATTATTTGAATATATACTCTTTTAAAATGTCCGTTTTTAAAGTCATCATTTTTTTTTTACCCACCGCAGATTATTTGAATTAAAATAGTTTATTTTTACTGTTACAAGGTAGTGTTGAAACTGTATGAGGAAAAGGCATGCCTTCACTCTAACCACATATGTGACCTCGCAGCAAGAGAGGCTAATTAAAACTGACAGACGAAAGCCGTTTGTATGCGGATGACAAGGAGCCTGAAACCGTTCACTTGGATGGAGTCTGATCCACGCACCGAAAGCGACGTTATAATGAACACACACACACTGACCAATCTTTCTCTTCTGCGGCTACGTTTTCTGACCTTATTAATTATTGCCGTTTTTTGGCCTATTTATTAATTAACTTCTTCAGTGATTTGTTAAATTTTTGTGTTTCAATTAAATTGAGTTCACTCAATGATAAAAACGTTTATTAAAATATTGATGACATAAAATAATTTCCGAGACAAAAAAAAAAATCGTTTATTTCAATTGTAGTGGGGCTGAAACAAAAGTTGCTATATTTTTTACATGTTAATATTGGCTCTTTGACATTCTATTACCTTCATTAGCTTTTCTCTCCTAGATTTTTATAACTTTTCTACTGTTTCAACCTGAATGTTACTTGTAATCGTTGTTATTGCTTCTCCATTTTCATATACATAACTTTTACTTATGAATTATATCTTTTTATCATGTTTGCACTTTATACACGGCAAAGACTGTTTGAATTAGATCCCTGTTTAGTTTGCAGATTTATTAGAACCACGGAAAGGTTTTAACGTATTATAGTTTGTTTCTTATAAGGAAATAAGGGATCTATATTTCTTTTATGCAGAAACATATTCAATAGAAGCGTTACCATTTGCAATTATTTGGTATAATTATTCTCTAAGCGTAGCTTAGATGTGGCACAAGGCCGAAAGTATGGGGCACCCAATGAGGATCGAACTCACTACTCAGTCGTAATTACTCTAGCAAGACAAGCTTGCTAACGATTGCACCACGCCGAGGTACTACCAATTATTTGGTATAAGACTTCAATTTTTATTATTAATGTCTCGATAAGAAAACCATTTGTATGCTTTGATAAATTTCATGGAACCATTTCCCCTAAATATATAATTTTTATTTTTTATTGTAAATGTTTATTGGGCACTAAATAGAATTTATATTGATTCTCTTTTCGGCTACTAATTGGTGTATATATCTTTGCACAGTTGCTGTAAACAAAAGACTCTGCAAGTAAACAATGAAACTAACAAATTTTAAATTTACGGCAAAGATTGAAAAATAGACGTTTTTTTTTTTTATACTTTTCATTTGTTTCGTCTGGGTTTTAGATATTATACGGGATTACATTTCAATATTAAGGAATCGCTTTAATGTCCTTATAACCAAACACGAAAACGAGTATTTCAACTATTTTGGATTACTATTACACACTAAAAAACAATGGTTAAAGGTCGGAAAACATAAGGAAAAATTCATTCCTTTAAATAATATGTGGAGACAACCACCCTTCGCCTGGTGAAGGTCGCAAGGCCCGAAACACGTGTAGCAAAAATATGGAAAATAAACTATATATATTTTTAAAAAATCTACATTACGTTTGCGGCTTCTTTCTACTCTTAAAATCATTATATATTAGCTAGTGTATGTATATATATATATATATATATATATATATATATATATATATATATATATATATGTTTAGTGGTACAAAATTTTATGACTTCCATGAACAGACAAAAATTAGTTTTATTATTACCTCTCATGATAATAAAAAGTAA